GCAGCAACCTCTTCCTAGACACATCGCCAAAGGCAAGGGCAAAAATGAACTATTGGGACTTCATCAAGATAAAAATCCTTTGCACAGCAAAGGAAACAGTCAACAAAACCAAGAGACAACCAACAGAATATTTGCAAATGACATATCAGATAAAAGGCTAGTATCCAAAATCTATAAAGAACTTATCAAACTCAACACCCCAAGAACAAAGAATCCAATCAAGAAATGGGCAGAAGACATGAATAGATTTTTCCAAAGAAGACATCCAAAGGGCCAACAGACACATGAAAAAGTGCTCAACATCGCTCGGCATCAGGGAAATCCAAATCAAAACCTCAATGAGATACCACCTCACACCAGTCAGAATGGCTAAAATTAACAAGTCAGGAAACGACAGATGTTGGCAGGGATCCCTACACTGTAGGTGGAAATGCAAGCTGGTGCAGCCACTCTGGAATACAGTGTGGAGGTTCCTCAAAAAATTGATAATAGAGCTACCATACGACCCAGCAATTGCACTACTGGGTATTTACCCCAAAGATAGAAATATAGGGATCTGAAGGGTTATGTGCACCCCGATGTTTATAGCAGCAATGTCCACAACAGCCAAACTACAGAAAGAGCCAAGATGTCCATCAACAGATGAATGGATAAAGAAGATGTGGTATATATATACAATGGAATATTATGCCACCATCAAAAGGAATGAGATCTTGCCATTTGCAATGACGTGGATGGAACTGGAGGGTATTATGCTGAGCGAAATCAGTCAATCAGAGAAAGACATGTATCATATGATCTCACTGATATGAGGAATTCTTAATCTCAGGAAACAAACTGAGGGTTGCTGGAGTGGTGGGAGGTGGGAGGGATGGGGCGGCTGGGTGATAAGACATTGGGGAGGGTATGTGCTATGGTGAGTGCTGTGAACTGTGTAAGACTGTTGAATCACAGACCTGTACCTCTGAAACAAATAATACATTATATGTTAAAAAAAAGAAGAAGGTAGTAGGAAGGGAAAAATGAAGGGGGGGAAATTGGAGGGGGAGACGAACCATGAGAGACTACGGACTCTGAGAAACAAACTGAGGGTTCTAGAGGGGAGGGGGGTGGGGGGATGGGTTAGCCTGGTGATGGGTATTAAAGAGGGCACGTATGGAATGGAGCACTGGGTGTTATATGCGAACAATGAATCATGGAACACTACATCAAAAACTAATGATGTATGGTGATTAACATAACATCATAAAATTAAAAAATGCAAAAAAAAAAAAAATGAATGAGTACTCTGTAATGTAACTTTCTTAACAACATTTGGCTTTTCAGAGAGTGCTAGGTAGTGGAGAAAGATCACGGAGTATTTGGTTAAGAATGCTAAGATCCCTGGCAGCAAAAGTATGATTAGGGCAGGCCTTTTTTTGAATAATACTAAGGCACATTATTGTCTCTGGCTGTGGCTTTCATACTTTTTTACCACAGCCCACAATAAAAACTACATTTTATGTTATCATGCAGTATGAACACACACATGTAAACACATAAAAGTTTCATGAAACAATACTTAACATTACTATCTGTGGTATACTCTGATATTTTCTATTGTTCTCTTTCATTCTATTAAATAAAAAGTACTTGTCATAAGCCACACCAAATTAATTTCATGACCCACTAATAAGTACTGACCCTTAGCTACTTTATAAGAAAACCAGGGTTGTAGCTTCTGAAGTACATATATGTGGTCATTCTCTTTCTAGAGTATAAAGTCCTCTAGTGGGGCTAGATGGGTTGGAAGGTATGTATGGTTTAAGCAAGCAATATTTCTGTAGACTTCAACATGCTTAGCATTTAAACTAGGAATTTTCATCCTTTGAGATTTGGAGGGGGGTTTCATAAGAGCACTTCTTCAATCAATTGAATTAAGTGCTACTTCCCTGTTTAGAACATATATTTATGCAAGAAATGTAGCACATGCTTGAAATATTTAAAATATTTATTATTATTTATTACTTAATTTCTTAAAGGCAATATATGATCAGTGTAGTAAAATAAAAAATGAAAAAATATAGAGAGGAAAATCCCACAATCAAGAGATAATCACAGTAACATTTCTATATGTCATTTTTGTTTTTATATTTTTCCTACACATAGGTACACTTATAAACAGACACATACAATTTGGATTACATATGCAGATGTGCCTCCCTCCCAAACGTTATACCATAAATATCTGTTTGTTTAATAAAAAAATATTTAAAAATATGTCAGAGGCTGGAAATTATTATTATAAAATAGCATAGGTTATTAATTATTTCTCTATTGGACATTTAGATTTTCCAAGATTACTAATACCTTTTAGTTTTATGATTTTTTGCCATGAAAATTTACGTACTCATTTGATTTATGCATTCAACTGCATTTATCTTTTCTGTAGATATTTTCTCCTTTTCTTTTATGCCCACAAATTCCTTCCACAATTCAGGGAAAAAATTAATTACTCTTAAATATTTACTTTAGTAAGAATAGACCCAGTGTTCCATCATTGTTTTGGGACAGACTAAAAGAAATTATGCTAAGGAAATATTCTTCCATTCACTTAAAAACAGCAATGGGTATACTGAGTATTACTGAATGAGTTGTTAGCACCTAGTAAGATATTCTACTAGGTGTCAATGCTTGTTTGTAGTAGAGATTCATTAAATATATATTTTTGAATGAATCAACATTCACAGAGTTAAAAAACATTTTCACATCTAACTTGAAGAATAATATTTTTTTTTTAAAGATTTTATTTATTTATTTGAGAGAGAGAGAGAGAGAGAATGAAAGACAGAGAGCATGAGAGGGAGGAGGGTCAGAGGGAGAAGCAGACTCCCCGTCGAGCAGGGAGCCTGATGCGGGACTCGATCCCGGGACTCCAGGATCATGACCTGAGCCGAAGGCAGTCGCTTAACCAACTGAGCCACCCAGGCGCCCGAAGAATAATATTTTAATAGCCTTTCATTTGTTGTAAAATTTATCTTTTTTAAAAATTAAATTTAAAAGGACTAAAAGTAGTAAGTAGTTAATGTACCTAGTAGGAAGCGAATCTCTTAATATCTTGCTTCTCCAAGATAAATGTTAATTTGATGAATATCCTTCTAGCTTTTTTCCTATGGAGTAGGAATTATTCATTTAACTGCACAAAAATATATGTATAAAGATCTTTACTGTTATATTGTTATATTATACTGAAAAAAAGAAAAATAACAGTGGCATGTCTAGAGTAGTTATTGTATCAATATACAAAACGATCCCCAAATAAATTACCTATATAAACACACATGGAAAAATTTACACAATATATCATTGCATGAAAAAAAAGAAAAGAGGAAGATGGGTCTTTAAAATTTTTTGATCTATTGTTATGATAATGAAGAGATTTCCCCCACTTTGAGCCATTAGTGCATTTGGAGATAACTACCTACTTGATGGTGTTAAGTAAGCAATTCTTTCAAAATACAGATGAATTAAAATTGTTTGTATTTTAGATAGCATTTTTCATTAATAATTGACCACTGAGCTAAGTTTTTGGTTTTAGGTATGCTGGCCTTGCCTAAGTTATGCTTACTTCATTAAATAAGTAACTTCATCTTTTTTTCTTGTGTTCTGGAACACCTTACTTAGCACTGAAATTATCTGCATCTGAAACTCAAAAATAATTAACTGATAAAAGATAAAGCCAGCTGGTCCCAGAAACTTTTTTGTACAGTTTGATATGTACCTGAATTAAAACATAAATAAGTAATTTGTTCAAATTATCTTATTTAAGTTTCCTTGACTAACAATGATATATTATTATTTTTTAAAAATATTTTATTTATTTATTTGACAGAGAGAGGCACAAGCAAGAGAGGGAACACAGCAGGGAGAGTGGGAGAAGCAGGCTCCCTGCTGAGCAGAGAGCTGGATGTGGGGCTTGATCCCAGGACCCTGGGATCATGACCTGAGGTGAAGGCAGATGCTTAACCACTGAGCCAGCCAGGCGTCCCAATAATGGTGTATTAAAGTGTTTAATTTTAGTTGTGTTTGTCAATTTCTTCTTGAATTTAATTAAACAGCTTTTGTTTTATGGAATGTTTCTGTGCTGAAGCAGTATTATGGTTGAGAGTCTTGAATGTGTACAATTAGCGAAAAAGGAAATATACTCTGGTATGTTTATGTTAGGCCATTATATAAAATGAGAATGGCCATATAATGAATTGTTTCTTTCTTTTGTTCTCTTGGTGCATAAAAGTAGAGGAGTAACAGTAACTCTGTTTATATTTCTTCATGGTTAGGACTCTAGAAGTCTCAAAGAAGCCTATTAATATGTTAGGGTTCCTTTTTTTTTTACTTAAGAGAGTTTAAATTAGAACAGTTGTATTTACTGTGATTTGGACCTCATCTCAGTCAGCTAGCCATCTGTCAAAAGCAGACATCCTTTGTTTAGTCTTACTTCCTTTTTGTTGTGGTTGCATTTCCCTTTATTATTTATTCAAATATATAACCAGAAGTTTTTCTTTATAATCACTTATTAAAAAACCTCTATGTAACATTCTAGCTTCTATTCCACATATGAGAAAACTAGAATTAGTCTAGGTTGTAGATTGGATTCCTAATTTTTACTTCTTCTAAGAATAGCTTTGTTAACTAATTTACCACTTCGCACTTTGCTCAAGATAACTCCAGTAATTTCTCCCAATCTCTCTGTCACTTCAACTGAAAAATAAGGATAATGATTTGGCTCCATCACAATAGGGATATATGAGGAATGAGTGTTAATATATTTATCATGAGGACCTTTTTGTAATCTACCGATGTGCAGGGACTATAACAGAAAAACTTTATAAAAACAGAAAATCTTTATAAAAAAGATTTTATAAAGCATGTGAGAACATGATAATTTTTGCCATTCAGCTTACCTTGCCAATAGATTGATTAAAGGTGTTTTTGTGCATTATAGGCATTGTATCTAGTCTTACCTGAACCATTTTTCAGATATCCATTTGCATCTACAGTTGTATACATGATATAAGGTCCAGGCTGATTTACTCCAAAGGGCTGCAATAAAAAAGGAATAGTAAAGCCTCAGAAAGTAAGTGAATCATTTGAAGTTTCAGGAAAACCTATTACAAATAAAGTAATGTTCTTATATATATAATTATTAACAGATGGCAGTTACTTAGAGAACATTTCCATAAATAGATAACCTGTTAACTATTTAAAAGAAAACCTCTGCTAGTAGAAACACTTTAAATGTGTACAATTAGCTTTAAATGATAAACATTTTAAATTATTTGTTAGTTGCATTTACATAGTTCATTAATTTTATTATATATTCTAAGATCTATTATCTCTTCTTTATTATATAAATGTGAATACTTTAAGCAAAATTTTCTTTACTACTTTTGGTTCTACCCAGAATAGAGCTATGAGAATTTTATTATGACATTTCTGTAGAATCTAGCATTGCTTTTCCCTTCTGGGATGGATTGGACATAGTTTACATTTTCCCAATAAATATCAAAATGAATAAAATCCACCCATAATAATTATAATAGAATGAAAAATATCAATGAGTCATTCCACCACATTTACTCTCTTGTACTAGACTTAGAGAAGACATTATTTTCCAGTTAAGGAAAAAATAATTGGCAGAGCCTAGTTACAATTGTGAGGTTTGTCTCCAATTTGTATATTGTTCCTTATTTCTGGAACATTCCTCACACATTGATACAGTGATTTATTCTCTTTAGATATCAAGGCTAATTAAATAGGGTTATAAAGAAACCAATGTCTGCAATGGGTATCTTAAGAAGAGGTGACAAAATGATCAAGAAATTCTTTGAACACTTTATAGAATTAAAAATTCTACTGTTCTTCCCAATAAAGTAGGGAAAAGTTAACAAAGACATGTAGATAGTCTAATTATGTGCTAGAAATGATTTTCCTCCAGGATGACAAGCAATAAGTTAAATTAATTTTGTTGATATGACAATTACCTGATTGATATTTTAAGAACATTAGAAGTCTATGGGCTTTTAGTGACCATGAGAAAACAGGTTGTTCTAAGAATGGAATTACTCAAGATATAACTGAATAAAGATTCATGAAGAATATCACACAAATTTATTTATAATAAAAACAACCTTATCAATGAAGTATTTTTATGTAGAAAAAAGAATATTACACTTTATATAGCATACTACTTCAGTGGAAGAATTACCAAGATTCCTTATCTATATCCCTGTTTTGCAGATGGGCAAGAGAGAGCATTGTTCTTTAGATAGGAACAGTTTAAAAGCAAACCACAGATAGTTGCATAGATGTTACATGATGGAATTATATTCTTCATACAATTAATCTTTTTCCTTTACAGTTTTATCATTTATACAAATATGTTAAAATATATTTGATTATGCCTATTTTAATTTTTATGTAAATGGAACCATACTGTATGTATCTTTCTGTGACTCGCTTTTTATTTTATTTTATTTATTTTTTATTTTTTAAAGATTTTATTTATTTTTTTAGAGAGTGAGTGAGAGAGAAACAGCATGAGAGGGGAGAGGGTCAGAGGGAGAAGCAGGCTCCCCGCCGAGCCGGGAGCCCGATGTGGGACTCGATCCCAGGACCCTGAGATCATGACCTGAGCCGAAGGCAGACACTCAACCATCTGAGCCACCCAGGCGCCCTGTGACTCGCTTTTTAAAATAGATTTTTTGAGACACATCCATGCTTAAGCATGTAGCTGTATAGTTCATTTTCATTGCTAATAGAGAATGCCATTGTATGATTATAGCATAAATATTTGTCATTTTATTGTTGATTGACACTTGTTTCCATTTTTCTTTTGCCATGATAAACATGGAATTCTTATGTATGTCACCTGATGCACAAGTGCTAACATTTATCAGGAGTCAGGTACCCAGAGGTAGAATTGTAAAGTCAAAGGATATATATATATGTATCTTCAAGTGTACTAGGTAGTGTCAATTTTTTAAAAGTTTTTATTTAAGTTCCAATGAGTTAACATACAGGGTAGTATTAATTTTCAGCATACAATATAATGATTCAACACTTCCATACATCACCCAGTGATCATCACAAGAAGTATACTCCTTAATCCCTATCACCTATTTCAACCACCCCCCACCCACCTCCCCTCTGGTAACCATCAGTTTGTTCTCTAGAGTTAAGAGTCTATTTCTTGATTTCTCTCTCTCCCCACCCCCCCTTTTTTTCTTTCTGCTTGTTTGTTTTGTTTCTTAAATTCCACATATGAGTGAAATCATATGGTATTTGTCTTTTTCTGACTGACTTATTTTGCTTACCATAATACTCTCTAGCTCCATCCATGTCATTGCAAATGGCAAGATTTCATTTTTTGACTGAGTAATATTCTAATGCATATATATGTCTATACACACACACACACATACACACACCATACTGACTCCCCCCCCCCCCCGCCCCCAACCAAATATAGGGTTAGAATTAGAGCCAGGGTTAGGGTATGTGCCTGCTATCTTGCAGTTCAGAGACCTTCACAAAGGGATAGGTTTAGGGGTTAGGGGTTAAGTGGTAGGGTTAGGGGTAGGGTTAGGATTTGGGTTAGGCTATGTCCCTGGCATTCTGCAGTTCAGCAACCTTTCCAGGGAATAAAACCCCAGGGTGAGAATAGACATGGAAGTCATCTACCAAGCTAAGGCAAGCAGGGGATTTGAGCCTCTAAATACTCTTTATTTATTTTTATTATTATTTTTAAAGATTTTATTTATTCATCTGAGACACAGAGATATATATATAGAGAGAGCATGAGCAGGGGGAGAGGCAGAGAGAGAGGGAGAAGCAGGCTCCCCGTTGAGCCAGGAGCCCGATGTGGGGCTCTGAAGGCAGACGTTTAACCATCTAAGCCACCCAGGTGCCCCTCTAAATACTCTTTAAAAAGATATTCAATTGTTCTGTCTGTTTTTTTTTTTCTTCCCCCCCCCCCAGGTTGGTACCTAGCTATTTCATTATTATTATTTTTAAAATTTTTAATTTAAATTCCTGTTTGTTAACATACAGTGTATAATATTAGTTTGAGGTGTACAATGTAGTGATTCTACGCTTCCATACAACACCAGGTGCTCATCACAAGTAGCACCAATTTTTTTTTTTTTTTTTACTAAAGTAAGACCAGTTTATACTCTACCAGCTGAATGTTGCTTCACACACTTAGCAACAAACATTGCTAATGTGTATATACTTCTTAACATAAATTATTTCATCTCTCCTAGGTTTGTTTCTTTGGACTAGGGTATGCCCTTTCATACTTTAAACTTGTCTCATTCCAGTGAGGTTTGAAATAATATTTATGAAGCTACATATAACACTGTGTTACAACCTCAAATTTACCTTATTACCCATAGTCTAGTCTATGTACTGGAAGATTGGTATCTTGAACTATAAGCAGTATTTTCAGTGAACTTTCCCAAATGTATTCTTGACTAATTTTTGTATTTCACACTCAAAGAATTTCATACTATTATCCACGGCATCTTATTTTACAGATTTACTTAGGCAAGTTTTTCTCTCTTGCCCTATATTCATTTAAAAAAATCAGTTCTCAGCATGTCTTTATTATGAGTCTTAAAGCTGCAGTTCACTTCTCACCATGGGCCAGTCACTTTGATATTTAAAGACAAGGTCTAGAAATCCAGATTCGATTCCTCCACACAGTAGTTCTCAATCTGTGGTGCAAGGACCCTTGGAGGTCCCAAAACCCCACTATAAAAAGTGTGGATAATCAGCAGTGACACTAAACTATGGTTATTCAGACTTGGGTATTTCAACTTAGCCAACATTTTCTTGAAAATAACAAAGTGAGTCTGTCACTTTTAGGAAAATGACTGGCAGTATTTGTGGCTAATGATAAAATTTGAGCTTCTAAAGGAAAATTGAAATTTTAGAAGACTTGTATTCACCACTGTGAGTCTGACATATTAAAAACTTAAAACCTTTTCTGATGAGATCAGCAGTGATATTAACAAGTGTGATTTAAAAAAATTATATAATGAAATATGTTAATATTGGGAAGATCTGCATAACTCGGTACACCAATATTTTCCAAATAATCCAAAGCATGATGTTACTAAACCATGCATGGGCAAAAGAACATTCAAAGTAAAGCTACATCAATGGATTTTAAAGTAATAGAGTAGGGGAGAATCATTTTGGGAATGGGACAGTAGGACCTCAAAAATCTTCATAAAAGCAATGAGAACACTGGCAAAAAAAATTGTCAAAGAAACTTTTTCAGGACTCTGGAAATCAAGAGAAGGTTTGCAAGAATCTGAGGAATATCTCTTCAAGAAAAGAACTGAATATCAGTAAGAATAATACACTTTGCTGCCTTTTAATTTGCCTTACTCCTATAACCTTTACTCTAGCTCTGAAGTAGCCTTGAAAACCAACAGCTCTGCAACTAAGTCAGCTGTGAAAATGAAAAGCCTAGCAGCTAATGGATGGTCTGGCAGAACAGGCTGGGAGCCCCAAAGCCCCATCCCCAGAGAACTGTCACTATTTGATGTGTCTGGCAGCTTCCTGACAAGCTCTAGTCTCAGTATTTATCTTTATTTGGCAAGATTGAGAGCTTGTTCTGTGTGGACAGCCTTATCAAACTGGAACATTTGTTAAAAACAATCACTAGCAATTGTTTATTTGTTATCAGTTTGGGCTAATGAGAGGTTGAACAAATCTTAAAAGGAAAAATATGAACGAGATGTTCAAAGATGGGCTTTGAAAAACTCTGACACATTACTGGAGATCTGGAAGGCCACACACATGTGCAACACTGTTTCCAGCCAAAAGACCCGAAAAGGCCATAATTTCTCATCTCATGTCTCATTAAGGAAACATCTATCCAATCACATCTGACCATTAGGCTAACTTGAGTAGGGACTTCGATGGCTACACACAATAGAGAATGGAGATTTTAAAGTATTAGTCCAGGAAAATTACTGAAAAAAATAGCAGCAACAACAACAAACCCAGGGGAGAAATTTCCAGGATTAACA